TATATATATGCTTTTATATACACTCCTAAAACATCCGAAAGAGAGCAATAACTTTTGGCATGCTGATACACACACCGCACAAAAAATTAGTCACTCTAAGAGAAATCTTGAAAAACATCATTTAATAACGTGTAACACCTCCCCCGGATTTAATAACCGCCTGGATTCGGTTAGAAAAGGAGTCCGCAAGGTTTTGCAGGGACGTCGAATCCAGTTTAAACCATTCGCTGAGGATTTGATAGCGGAAATTCAAAAAATTGCAAGGATACTGATTTCTGCGTTTTACCCGTTGTTCCAACGTGTCCCACAAAATTTAATGGGGTTCACGTCAGGTGATTTTGCAGGCCAGTCGAGATGCAATTGAGTGCCTGAGTGTTCATTAAATCAGTCACATATTCTTCCAACTCGATGAATTTTGCTGCTGTCATCTTGGAAAATAGGGGTTTCGACAGCATACTCCTCATGAAAATTTTGACTGAAAAGCAATACCTAATTATTCAGAATGTTCAAATAAGCATGTTGGTTCACGTTAGTAACCACCTCGGTGAGGGGGCTCAATCCATAATAAGAAAAACACCTCCAAAACATGACAGACCCACCTCCGGCTTGAATCTGACCTTGCAAACAATAAGGATGAAATGCTTCATCTGGTCTTTGGTGCACTCGACGACGTGCGTCACTTGAATAAGGGCAAAAACATGATTCGTCAGACTATAATACTTTCCACCAGTCAGCAACTGTCCACGTTTTGTGACTTCTAGCCCATTGAAGTTACGCAGCTTTAGGTGCCTGTGTGAGCAATGGCCTCTTATGAAGTGTTCATCTCCAAATGTTCATTGCATGCAGCTCCCATCCCGATGTTATTTCACTAACAGATTGGGGTGGACATTCATTCACTAACTGAAATAATTCCAGTCGGGTTTGGAATCGGTTATGATTGTCAAGTCGTGAAGCGCGTCTCCTGTCCCATTTATGCAGGATTTTTTTCCGACCACAATTCTGAAATTGTCTTTTGTGACCACTGCTTGTTAGGCACGTTGAACAGTCCGCATCGGAACACCAACAAACCCAGAGTTCAGGTGAATCTAGAGTAAACCAGGAAGTTTCAAATGTCAAAATATTGTTTTCGAAATATCAAAAGACAATCAAATTATTTTAGGATTACTCTGATTCACGCAGTGGCGAAGAAATCCAGCAATAAATTGTTTTCATTTCGATATTTTGTAAGCTTTTTTTTCACATTTGAAAATCATGGTAACCTGACCTCATTTCTTATAACTTTAAATTTTAAAATACCAGTGAAGTTGAAACAGAATTTGCCATGAAAATTTTTTTCCGTGGCAGGAGCATCCTCTGAATTTCAAATAAAACAAAGCTCACACAAGTGGTGGAACTTTTTTACTTTAACATTTTATTTTCTAAACCTTCAGGGGATTTTTTGGATCCGGAAAAGGGAAAAACTCTGAAATGAGCGTCTGATGTTGATGGAGTTCAAGATAAAGGATCTTGTGCTGCAAAGTGTCTGGAAGAGGAAAACAATTGCTGGTAAAAATTTAATTATTTACAACTCTCCTTTCATCGATTCATTTGAAACTCTCCTTTTATCGATACATTTACAATTTTTTCATTTAAAACTCTCCTTTTATCGATTCATTTGCAACTCTCCTTTCATCGATTCATTTACAATTCTCCCTTTTCGATTCATTTACAATTCTCCCTTTTTCGATTCATTTACAACTCTCCTTTCATCGATTCGTTTACAACTCTCTTTTCATCGATTCATTTAAAACTATGCCTTTATTGATTCATTTACAACTCTCCTTTCATTGATTCATTTACAGTTATTTAATTCGTCTGAAACTCCCCTTCATTAAGGCACTGAGATCTGTGATGTCATTAATTCATTCCTTTCATTGATTTATTCACAACTAACTTTTCATTAATAAATTTAAATTTCTTATTTCATTAATTCATATACAACTCTATTTTCATTGGTCCTTTTGCAAATCTCTTTCCATTGATTTATTTAAATTTATTGTTTCCTTTAAGTCATTTAAGACTTGGAATTTATTGAATCAATAAAAAATCTCTCGTTATTGGTTCATTAAACACTTTCTTTTATCTAATTTATTTACAACTACTCTTTTATCGATTCATTTAAAACTATTTTTCTGTTGATTCGTTTATTAATTTATTTACAACATTCCTGACAATAATTAATTCACATTATTTATTTCTTCATTTACAACTTTCTTCCTTTGCAACCTTTTATTCAAACATTGATACGTTCACAGTCTTTTTTTTTTCATTCTTTAATTACATTGCAACCATCGTTTCTTTCATTCATTCATTTATAAATAGTTCATTTGCAATAACTACTCAAGTCATGTTTGACAGTGGGAAACTTGTTGGTTTCATGGAATGGTTCATGAGCAACTTTTCATAGAATCGAGGAAAAAATAATTACGCAAAATATTGGGCAAAATTATGAAATTTGATATTGGCCAGTGGCTTGTTTTCGCATTTCTAACAGTCATCACTTTTTCAAAAATTGAAAGTTTTAAGCGATTGAATAAACTTATTATATAATAACGTAAGTCATTACTCTTAAAGCGTTACTCAAAATATGTAAAACACTTATGGCTTNTTATTTAAAAAAACACTTGTAAATTAAATTGTATTTATTTTTATAGAGTTGTCCATTTTGATTAAACAAGTTACGAATAATTTCGAAACTATTGTAGTAGCTACTTTTTTTTCGTAGTTTGTAGTGTAGTGTGCTACTTTTTTACAAGAAGTAGTGTAGTGAGTAGTGCGATACAAAAAAACTAGTACTGATTCCTGGCAACTACTTTTCATGGGTGAAAGCCCTTATAAAGCAAGACGGAAAAGAGAAAAACCTGGTACGTAAAACATTTCATTCCAGCATATTTTTTTCGAAAAAAATGAAATATCTGTAACTATCAAGATTTCTTTTATAATTCTGGCATACTACTTCTTTTCCAAGATAAAGTAGATATTGTTGAAAAATTTAAAAAAAGAATAAGTAAACTCCTCCCCAAAACTAGCTATAACTGGAAAGGTTTTACTACCAGCCTTTCCGTCTCGCTTTCACCCCTGCTACTTTTAACGATAGTTAAGAATAGTGTAGCGTAACTACCACTACGAAAATTAAACATCAATTCACTGGTATATAAGACATGCTAACTTGATTCAATCACGAGGTACCTTTTGATAGATGAAGGTTGGCATGGTCGAATAACTCCGCCCCCACATTGGTGACCTCCGGACGTGATTTGATCACGCAGTAACGCCCACTTCGCAAAATAACTTGACGGTAACACCTACTTCAACTGATAGTTCACATTGAACAGTTGACTTGCTACTTGTGACTGCAAAATGCAACGACGAACGCTACGACGTGATGTTAACACACCTCTCACATTCAGCACTCAACAAGGCTCTCCCGGTCTTTCACAAGTACAACACTTAGTGTTATCACTTCATCGAATTCTATCCCTGATAAAATTCTATTGGGGGAGTATTGTAGCGTAACTACCACTACGAAAATTAAACATCAATTCACTGGTATATAAGACATGCTAACTTGATTCAATCACATGGTACCTTTTGATAGATGAAGGTTGGCACTTCACCCCCACAATAGCAACACGAACACAGCTCTAACACAACTTGAAACAGTGAAATAAGTCCATTCGTTACAAAACATTTTTCAAAATTAATTTGCATTTTTTTTCTTCTGTTAGCATATTCACACATGCCCAGTGGCCGGAAGAAGAGCACTACAAGTAGTGTAACTACTGTAGTCGCTACTCTTTTTCGTAGTTTGTTGAGTAATGCGCTACTTCTAAAAAAAAAGTAGTGTAGTGAGTAGTGCGATAAAAAAACAAAAACAGTAGTTTGTAGCTATTCCTAGCAAGTACTATAACGTTAGTTAAGAATAGAAACACGGCTCTAACGTAACAAATGTTTCGAATTTGATGTATCTTAGAGAGTCCGTCAACGGATACAATGAAAATGGTCCTATGATTGCAGCTGAGCTCTAATAGAAATTACGTATTTAAAATCACGTATAACTAATATATAAACTAGCCATTACGAATAATAGATAATCAACCACTTCCGTAACACTTTCGCATGCGAATGCACACTCTCGAAACATTGATGTCATTTCAAGGAAACGGAACGTATTTTCGATGTACTTAATTTCTTAGATGAAATAAGAGAGCATTAAACAATTTTAAAATTGCAAGTATTTGATAGTTTTGCCTTTCTTAAATTAAATACTAGCTGCCGAAAAAGGCATAAAAAGTTGAAGGTTCAATGAGCGTATTCGAGAAAAAAATGTTTTGGAATAACAAACTGGCTCATGTAAACATGAATAAATAATTCATAATTATTCCTTTATATTTAGTGTAAGCCAATTTCTTATTCGAAACCATTCTGAACATAAATGTAAATTAAGTTCTCCAGAAAAATTCGTTTCCTTAAATTAGTGAAGTAGTTACTAAAAACTAAAGTAGTTTGTCGTCACTGCATTTAAAAAAAAAGTAGTTGTAGTTGTGGTTAACTACATTTGTATCAAAGTAATTGTAATTGCAGTAAACTACAAAAATAATGTGGTTCTTCTGACCATTGTAATTGGTATAGTTTTAAAAAAAAATTTAAAGTTTAAAATCACGAGAAAAAAAAAAGATTTCAGGTAAATCTAGAATAAACCAGGAAGTTTCAAATGTCAAAAAATTGTTTTCGAAATATCAAAAGGCTATCAAATTATTTCAGGATTACTCTGAATCACGCAGTGGCGAAGAAATCCTGCAATAAATTGTTTTCATTTCGATATTTTGTAAACTTTTTTTTTTCACATTTGAAAATCATGGTTACCTGACCTCATTTCTCATAACTTTAAATTTTGAAATACCGATGAAGTTGAAACAGAATTTGCCAGGAAAATTTTTTCCGCTGCAGAGCATCCTCTGAATTTCAAATAAAACAAAGCTCACACGAGTGGTGGAAATTTTTTATTTTACCATTTTATTTTCTAAAATTTTCAGGGGATTTCTTGGATCCGGAAAAGGGAAAAACTCTGAGAGGAGCGTCTGATGTGGATGGAGTTCAAGATAAAGGATCTTGTGCTACCAAGTGTCTGGAAGAGGAAGACAATTGCTGGTAAAAATTTAATTATTTACAACTCTCCTTTCATCGATTCATTTGAAACTCTCCTTTTATCAATTTATTTACAATTATTTTTTCATTTAAAACTCTCCTTTTATCGATTCACTTGCAACTCTCCTTTCATCGATTCATTTACAACTCTTCTTTTATCGATTCACTTACAACTCTTCTTTCATTGATTCATTTAAAACTATGCCTTTATTGATTCATTTACAACTCTCCTTTCACTGATTCATTTACAGTTATTTAATTCGTTTGAAATTCCCCGACACTGAGATCTGTGATGTCATTAATTCATTCCTTCATTGATTTATTCACAACTAACTTTTCATTAATAAATTTAAATTTCTTATTTCATTCATTCATATACAACTCTATTTTCATTGGTCCTTTTGCAACTCTCTTTCCATTGATTTATTTAAATTTATTGTTGCCTTTAAGTCATTTAAGACTTGGAATTTATTGAATCAATTAAAAATCTCTCTTCATTGGTTCATTGAATACTTTCCTTTATCTAATTTATTTACAACTACTCTTTTATCGATTCATTTATAACTATTCTTCTGCTGATTCGTTTATTAATTTATTTACAACATTCCTGACAATAATTTATTCACATTATTTATTTCGTCATTTACAATTTTTTATTTCTTCATTTACAACTTTCTTCATTTACAACCTTTTATTCAAACATTGATACATTCGCAGTTTTTTCTTTTCATTCTTTAATTACATTACAACCATCATTTCTTTCATTCATTCATTTATTAATAGTTCATTTGCAATAACTACTCAAGTCATGTTTGACAATGGGAAACTTGATGGTTTCATAGAATGGTTCATGAGCAAGTTTTCATGGAATTGATGAAAAAACAATTACGCAAAATATTGGGCAAAATTATGAAATTTGATATTGGCCAGTGGCTTGCTTTTGCATTTTTAACAGACATCACTTTTTCAAAAATTGAAAGTTTTAAGCGATTGAATAAACTTATTATATAATAACGTAAGTCATTTCTTTTAAAGCGTTTTTCAAAAAATTTAAAACACTTATGACTTATGAACTTATTATATAATATTGTAAATCATTCCTTTTGAAACATTTCTCAAAATATGATAAACACTTACCTATACATAACAATAAACGCGGCTGTGTGTGTGTCTGTTTGTCTGTCTGTCTGTAATCACAATATATCGCCCCAGAAGCCTCGCCCAGNTTTGGCTGTATTTCTTTTCCGCCGGTGGCAACGTTTGCTTTGTTTTGAAAACACCAAAAGCATTCTACCTTTTAATGATGTGTTTCTGACATAATATATATAATTCTCTTACGTGGCTCTCAAATTTTGGCTGAAGTACTTTGTACAACTAAATAAAATTCTTTTCACAACAGTTAAATATTTACTTTATTTTCTTCATTCATAGAGAAAACAGTCGGCAAAAAATTCTGTTAGGTTAAAAAACATTTCGCTAAAAAAATAACGAATTCTAAAAGAAATAAAAATAAACAACTTAAAAAATAAAAATGCTGTTGCCAGCCATAGGATTTTTTGAAAGTTAACTTAGCAACATAAATCAAAATGACATAGAAGCGCAACTAGATCAAAATTATGATACCTGAAAGCTTGACGTGACAAATCCTTCAATTCTAAAAGTGTTGTATCGCCAAATGCCCAAATTAACAATTGTGATCTTAAAAAAATTCTATAAAAAGTTTTAAATAAACAACCTACTTCTACAACTGCTTCTTGTAGAACTTGGCTCATTGATTAAAAATAT